GCAGTTTTTTGTGCCTTGATATCCCCTGTGGTCACAATCCCCCTTAGATTGGTTACTATAGCAACTTCTTATTGTTTCCCTATTCCTTCTGGGCTTTCCTCTTCCCTCTCTGAATGAGGGGCTTCCTTCCCTTTATTCTATAAATGTACACCTTTCTGCAGCTCTCAGCTCCCTTATCTTATGGAAATGTACCTTCTGTAGCTCCCATCAACCTTATCTTATGGAAATGTATCTTCTGCTACTCCCTCATCTTATGGAAATGTACCCTTTGCAGCTCTGTAGCCCTGTGCTTTTCCCACGGATCCCTTCATTCCTAAAATTTCCTAAACCTGCCTATTTCTCCCCTAAAAACTTTCAGAGTGAACCACTGCAGCTGTCTAGGTGAAAGGTCACACCTGGTTTTCCAGTTTTCCTCTAACTAGAACTCTTCTGGGTAGAAAATAACAGGGTGCTCACTGGGAAAAGAAGCAGAAGCATATAGTTTGCAGAGACACAGCTCTGGTATCTTGAAACAGCATAAAGGGAAAGTTTGGATCTCAGAGATAATAGCTCAATAACGTACAAACCCTCTTTCCAATTGAACAGGGTAATGCATTGTTGATACTCTTTAATTCAAAAAATCCAAAAAATATTTCATCCATGGTCCTGAAAATAGCTTAAGTATAGAAAAATAATTTGCTGCTACTCTTTAAAACTAGTCAGACTTCTATCTTTTTTCCTAAATGGAAACGCAGAGTGGAGCTTAGGCCTGACTTTGATACTTACGGATTGAACATATTGGATCACTTATTAACCTCCCTGTCTGAAAGTTTTCTTACATGTAAAATGTGATTTAAATATGGCTCCCAAGTTTTTCATAGAAGTATTATGTGGATCTGAGAAGGAAATAGGGGGGCAACTTTGGAGGCTGATAGCCTGTTCAGTATCTAGTTAATCAATAATCTTGCAAGCCCCATTCTAACTGACCGTGGTGGAGTTGCAAAGCCCACCCCGAAGGGCCTGCCACTGGAAGATATATCTACCAAAACCTCCCACATTGGCAGTTCAGGCTTTGGATCAAAGTCCCCTGAACTAGCAGCCCTGTGAAATAAAAATTTTACTTTCCTAATTCCTCTGGTGCTGGCTGTCGCTTCTCCTGGGTCATTCGCCACAACAGATCAAGTTTTTAAATGGATATAAAAATGTTTTCTAATATATATTCTTAAAATCAACCATACACATATTTGGGCATAATATGGCATTTGACTTTCTCTCCATTCTGCCTCTGATCTCAATGAAATCCCTGGTGTAAAAGACTATAATCCTCATGCCAGAATTGCTGAGAAATGTCTGCTGGGTCTACTGCAGATGGGAGGACCCTGAGGAGTGATTTGCAACCACAGGACCTGGCTGGGAGTGTGCAGCACCTGTGATAGTACACTGCACTGATTCCCATCATTTTAGAGGAAAAAAGACACCAGGCATAGAAAAAGTGCACAAGTATGATTAGCTGCAATTAGGTCTATGCAATATAATTATGATTCGTTTGTATCTTACATGTACTCTGAATATTATATATTTATCACAATAAAACCTTATCATCTTATATTTCAAATGAATTTTAAATATGCCTAAGTATAAAATACACTTCAAACAACATCAATAAAAGCCATATGAATTATTATTAACATTTTTGAGACTAAAGTTATTGATTCTATAATCTTAAAATATGTATGAACACACATAAAAAACAAGGGCAATTTTATTTTTCACTTTGTTAGGAGACACAAAGAAAGTAGCACCATTCAAACAATTCCATTAATTACCTTGCGTTTTATTAACAATAAAGGCTTTTGCGATTGATAGAATGCCAAAGCAAAGGTGAAAGACACAATCAATCCCAGTAGACACTTATCAAGAGTACAATGCAAAGCAATTAAGATTACTGCTGAAATCAGTATAGCTCATCTCCTTGGAATAAGAGGACACAGGGAGAATGCACAGGCTGCACCAATTTGTATGTATTCTTAAAACAAGTCAGTAGTACTGTTGTAATGTACCCCGCATATCACAGAAGACGCCTCAAGAAGTCGAATTAAAGAGTCACATTTATTGCAATCCGGGACTATGAGGGAGCATCTTGCTCTCCCAAATCTCATAGTAATAAGATGGCTGCCAAACCAGACTTATATAGGCAAAGATCACAAAGGTATTGATTACATCCCAAGGTTTGGGATGAGGAAACTGGTTTGCAAAAAAAGCAGTTTACAGAAGCAGAATCAGCATGTTATCTAAATTACAGTTTTGGGTCCCCAGATCATTGACAGAAGCACATTATCTAGAGCCCTCAGGTCTGGAATGAGGAACCTGGTCAGACTTAAGCAGGTTATCTAAATTACAGTTTTTGGGTCTCTGGAACACTGAGTCAACAGGGACACGTTAACTGGAGCCCTTTGACCTTGGGATAACTGTGCTGTCCTTCCCATGTAAAGGAAAATTTGCTTTCTAAGACCAGAATGACCACAACCAATGGGATATTCACAGTAAAATCAGTAGGGATTTCAACCTGGCTTCCTTGTGTTATGGACATGTAACTCCTTCTTTATATTTGCTACCAGTTTCCATCTAGAGGGAAAATAAATCTAATTGAGATTCTTGGAATTTTCTGTAGAAGCTCATTCTCTCCTAGGCTAATATAAAAAACAATATCCGCTGCTTTAGCTATCCTAGACCATTCATTCTTCGTTCATTCAAGTGGTTCATATTTAATGACCTTAAAAGAGCAATTTTTTTTATTCAGTGTGGTATCAAAGCCTTTCTTAAATCAAGGTTTATGAATTTAAGACTAGATGACAAAAGTAGCTCTATTAGCCTCTTTGTCATGGCCAAGTTTCAATAGTGGCACTCTATATAAAACAATTCTAAGTACAATTACAAGTCAAATCATATGCTATACACCTTAAACTTATAGTGTTTTATGTCAATGATACCTCAATAAAACTGGAAAAATGCAAAAAGAAATTCAATTACATACAGTAAATATTTCACTTTTCATCAGAATCATTATGTATAACTTAGCTGTTTACTACACTTGATCTTAGCCAAAAGGCCAAGAAGCAACTTATAACTTAGCTGTTTAAAAAATTCAGGGTTCTGTGTGAGGGATGCTGAAGCAAAGACCCTAAACCCGTGGTAGGAAAACTGTGGCTCGCGAGCCACGTGCGGCATTTTGGCCCCTTGAGTGTGGCTCTTCCTAAGCCTTAGGAGTACCCTAATTAAATTAATAATAATGTACCTACCTATAGAGTTTAAGTTTAAAAAATTTGGCTCTCAAAAGAAATTTCAATCATTGTACTGTTAATATTTGGCTCTGTTGACTAATGAGTTTGCCAACCACTTCCCTAAACCATTCATAAATTCTTTTTGTTCCAGGCTATAAAATTACACTACAGTGGCAATAATTAATTCTCTATTTTTCTTTCTCTTAACATAACTTCTCTTATGTGTCAGGCACTAAAAAGCATGCCCACCCTGAAATCCTGCAGATCAATGCTGTCAGCTAACACCATGAGGAGTGGCCGGTTGTCTCTTGAAAAGGGATCTGGGTGCAGTGTCAGAGGTTTGCACTTCACTTTCCAGAATTTGATGATTCCTATTTCAGAAGCTGAGTATCCAATGCGAGGTGATTCCATAACCAAGTATGTCATTCCAATTATACTGAGGTACTGACAAAATGATCAATTGGACACTGTGGATGCAGTTTAAGGTGAATTTTAGTTAGAAATACTGGCCACCATATGCTCCAAGTTTAGCAGGAGGCTATGATGTTGCTTTGTGTCTTTATGTATCAGTGTTAGCTACAATGTGGGTCTAATTATCCTTTAAGTGTTGGAATATTCCTCTTTCTCTAGTATTCAATCAACTAAGTAAACTGACGTATGTTCTTTTGGGGAGGTACTGACAAAATCTTTGCAGCACGTTCTTGCTGTGGGACTACAGGGTTCTTCTTTTGAGAAAAGAAAAGAAGAGAAGGGAAGGGAAGGGAAGGGAAGGGAAGGGAAGGGAAGGGAAGGGAAGGGAAGGGAAGGGAAGGGAAGGGAAGAGAAGAGAAGAGAAGAGAAGAGAAGAGAAGAGAAGAGAAGAGAAGAGAAGAGAAGAGAAGAGAAGAGAAGAGAAGAGAAGAGAAGAGAAGAGAAGAGAAAGGAAAATAAAAGAAAAGAAAAGAAAAAGAGAGAAAAGAAAAGGAGAGAAAAGAAGAGAAAAGAAAAAAAAATAACTTTTTAAACCTTAAAATTGGGTTAGGTATGGAAACTGAGCAAGGAATGTGACTTTACATCAAGGTCATTGCCCTCAACCTAATGCTTCTATATCCTGACTTTTTCTGATTAGAGATGCTAAACAGAATTTGGGTGGCTGCTCTTTTATTTGTCTGGTGGTTAACCACTGCCTGCCACTTGGCATCTATTGCTTTTGGGTCTCATCTTTCCCATTGTGCCATTTAAAAAGCCAAGTCCTAGCTTAGAGGCTGCTTCTCCTACTGACATACTTGACCTGCGTATGAGAACAATCCCTCAACTTAGTGATGCTAGAAACTATCTCATCAGCACATTTTTGGTGGTTTTGGTGGAAGTTGTATAGTGGAGCGATGGACTTTAGAATAACAACAGGAAACTCTCTTATCCTGTCCACGGGCAGGAGAAAAACAAAATGTAGACTCCTTGCCAGACTAATTACCGTAAGCTCAGTAGTGATATTAGTAGTCCTCTGGGTTTTCTGGCTCTGGTAGCTTCCTGTAACAGAATTATTCCAACTTGCCAATATTCTTAAATCATTTCATCCTTTCCTCTACCAATGCATTTTACTTTTGCTCAGTGTTAGCTTCCACTTTCTCTATTCTTCTAAGAGCTACCCCAGCAGTGAATTTTCTCTACCCTGTGGGATACTTGCCAGTATGTTAAAACCCATATCCCAAATAAGTGCCCCAATTAATTGGTGCTTCTCAATCTTATATTCCAGTTTACCTTAAAAACTTGGTGATATCTTCTTAATATCTTTAGTTTCCCTTTACTGAGATCTGTTTTCTCCTGTAAGTGGTCATATTGATAGAGTCTCCTTCTTCCTTCTCCTTCTCCTTCTCCTTCTCCTTTCTCCTTCTCCTTCTCCTTCTCCTTCTTCTCCTTCTTCATCTTCTTCTTTCTTCTTTTCTTCTCGCATGCATTCCATAATTGATTCATGAAAAAAATGTTTAATTTTCTCTAATAATTTCTAAGAGTGCAGAAATCTTTGATCTACTAGCTAAAAGTCATTGCTGTCCCTTAATTATTTACTAGGTAAAAGTCCAACTTCCAACTAGAGTGGACATATATTAAACTAGCTAACAGCCTCTTTCAAACTCGTCTCTTATTATGAGGTAAGAAAGTAGGGAATTTACCTCTCTCATTTGGGTGGGTCAGGAACAGTAATCACCTCAACCTGACAATCCTACTTTAATAGATCTTCCTCTTCAAATCCTCTCCAATCTTCAACTCCAGACGCTTTCATAATATCTATGTGTTTGAGCGCCTTCTCAAAGGTCATCTAAGCTTTTCTCTAACATGTAATTATCAACTGTTAATATCGGGTTAGAACCTTACTTCAGGTTATCATACGTGTTATATCTCGATGTTTCAAGATTCTTCAAATTCAACATCTGGTTGTAGCTACATGGAGTGATCTTAGCAGTTCAAGTGAAGCCACATATTGCAGTGATCTTGAGGCAAAAAATGGAGAAAGTAACAGTTACTCTGGGAAATTGTTTTGTTTTGCTTCATTTCTTAAATGTTAGTAATTGAAGAGAGTTAAATGATTTTGAGAAGGACCAAATAGAAAGTAAGAGGTTAATGATAAAAAGAGAGAAGATAATGGATAGTTTGTAGTCCTCAGAAATGTATAGTGGAGCGATGGATTTTAGAATAACAACAGGAAACTCTCTTATCCTGTCCACAGGCAGGAGAAAAACAAAATGTAGACTCCTTGCCAGGCTAATTACCGTAAGCTCAGTAGTGATATTAGCAAATGTGAATATCCCAACATGTGTCGGGACTCAAGAAGAGGTTATAGGAAAAAGAAGACATACTGAATCAGCTTAGCAGAAACCACAATCTATAATTTCACGCACTGGGTAAATTTGGTGCCAAATGCAGGGCCTGAGAAACTGGATCTGCTGTTTTAAGGCCCTTCCTGGATCAGGTAGAACATGAGTCAATGTGAAAACCTTAAGATATATCTGGGGGTAGACAAAAGTGACCACAGCCCTATGACCCAACCTCTACCAGAATGTTACCCTATTAAGGGAAAAACCAACCCCAAAAACCTGGGATAAAATATTAGTTGCTATATTTGCCCATAAACAGTCTTAAATATGTGCTGCTACCAAACCCTCATGCCAAGGATTCTAAGATGATATTTATAACTGTTAAACCAGGTCCTGCAGGGAAGGTTTAAGCGATGGCAATTTTCCCACAAACACATTTAAACTTTGTAAATGTTGTAGGTTGAACTGTGCCCCCCACCCCCAGTATATATTTGTACCTGTGAATGTAACTTTATTTAAAATAGTGCCTTTTCAGATGTACTCAAATTAAAATGAGGTCGGAGAACCAAGATGGCGGCATAGGTTAACGCCAGAGTTTGCTGCTTTGAACAACTACTTCAAAAGTGAAACCAAAAAACAGAAGGGACATCACCCAGAACCACAGGAATGCTGGCTGAGTGGAAGTCCTACAACTAGGAAGAAAGAGAAACGCATACGGACACTCAGAGTAGGCCCAGTGCTGAAGTCAAATTCCGAGGTGCGGAGTTCGCGGAGCGGGCTGGCGGCGGAGGGCGCGGTTGGCGTTTTCAATCGGGAGGGAGTCGCAGACTCTGAGCTCCAGATCCGGGCGAGTCTTTAGGGACCCAGACTCAAACGGGAGAAGCGGGACTGTCTGGCTTCGGTCAGAGCGAGTGCAGCTTTCTCTCTGAGCTTTGCAGCGGGTGCTGGGACTCAGAGAGGCAGAGCCCCTGGGGACAGGACTGAAAGCTGCCATAACTGCTCTCTCCAGCCCACCCTGTTGATCCTGTGCGACCCGCCCCGCCCAAGCCCTGCACACAGGCATTTGCTGGATAGCCTCAGGCAAAGGCTAGATTAGCACCTCCCTAGAGGACAGAAGTTCTCTCACTGCTGACACAGCTGATTCTTATAGCCACTTGGCCTGGAGGTCAAACCCTCCCTGGAATTAGCTACAACAATCAAGATTTAACTATAAAACTGCGAACAAAGACCACTAGGGGGTGCACCAAGGAAGCATAACAAAATGTGGAGACAAAGAAACAGGACAAAATTGTCAATGGAAGATATAGAGTTCAGAACCACACTTTTAAGGTCTCTCAAGAACTGATTAGAAGCCGCCGATAAACTTAATGAGATCTATAAGAAAACTAATGAGACCCTCGATCTTATATTGGGGAACCAACTAGAAATTAAGCATACACGGACTGAAATAACGAAGATTATACAGACTCCCGACAGCAGACCAGAGGAGCACAAGAATCAAGTCAATGATTTGAAATGCGAGGAAGCAAAAAACACCCAACCAGAAAAGCAAAATGAAAAAAGAATCCAAAAATGCGAGGATAGTGTAAGGAGCCTCTGGGACAGCTTCAAGCGTACCAACATCAGAATTATAGGGGTGCCAGGAGATGAGAGAGAGCAAGATATTGAAAACCTATTTGAAGAAATAATGACAGAAAAGTTCCCCCACCTGGTGAAAGAAATGGACTTACAGGTCCAAGAAGTGCGGAGAACCCCAAACAAAAGGAATCCAAAGAGGACCACACCAAGACACATCATAATTAAAATGCCAAGAGCAAAACACAAAGAGAGAATCTTAAAAACAGCAAGAGAAAGAAACTCAGTTACCTACAAGGGAATACCCATACGACTGTCAGCTGATTTCTCAACAGAAACTTTGCAGGCCAGAAGGGAGTGGCAAGAAATATTCAAAGTGATGAATACCAAGAACCTACAACCAAGATTACTTTATCCAGCAAAGCTATCATTCAGAAATGAAGGTCAGATAAAGAGCTTCACAGATAAGGAAAAGCTAAAGGAGTTCATCACCACCAAACCAGTATTATATGAAATGCTGAAAGGTATCCTTTAAGAAGAGGAAGAGGAAGAAAAAGGTAAAGATACAAATTATGAACAACAAATATGCATCTATCAACAAGTGAATCTAAGAATCAAGTGAATAAATAATCTGATGAACAGAATGAACTGTTGATTATAATAGAATCAGGGACATAGAAAGGGAATGGACTGACTATTCCTGGGGGGGAAAGGGGTGTGGGAGATTCGGGAAGAGACTGGACAAAAATCGTGCACCTATGGATGAGGACAGTGGGTGGGGAGTGAGGACGGAGGGTGGGGCGGGAACTGGGATGAGGGGAGTTATGGGGGGAAAAAAAAAGAGGAACAAATGTAATAATCTGAACAATAAAGATTTAAATTAAAAAAATAAAATAAAAAATAAAAATAAAATGAGGTCATACTGGATTGGGGGGGCGGGTTCTAATCTGATCACTGGCTCATATTCTTATTAGAAGTTAGCTACTACTTTATCATGGAAGCTGGGAGATAGTGGACACTGTCTTCTTTGGTGGGTATATTTCAAAGGGGTGGTCCTTGAGAAAAATATTCCCAGGTTATAAAACAGACAAGAAGCTTGTTAAAAGATTTGGGTATTAAAGGAGCAGAGGAAGAATTTATAATCACAGGTTCCTGAAAATAAATGCTTTAAGAAAAGGGAGGCCATGGGCCTAGAGGCACGAAGAGGCCTTCTTATTCAGCTTCTAGAAAGGACTTCCCTGTGCTCTCCCTCCCAGGGGCACACCCCCACCTTTCTTCCCTCTCAGCCCTGCATCTTCTAAACTCTAAGGGTCCCCAGGGACTTGCAATCAGGGGAGCAATGGGCAGTGACTTTTCATCCCAGGCTAACCCCCTGAGCCTGTCTTCAAGGCCCCCTTTTCTCTGACTTTACAGTGAGCTGACAGCAGCCTAGCCTTGGCTCTCCTGTGCTTTTTTTACCCTAAGCCTTTTCCTGTTTCACTGTCTCCAGCTTTAATAAACATACTCACAAAATCCACCTGGAAGAAAAAGGAAAAGAAAGAACTTCCCTGCCACACCTTGAATCAGACTTCTAGCCCCCCAAACTGTAAGAGAATAAATTTCTGTTGTTTTAAGCCAATTGGTTTGTGGTAATTTGTTACAGGAGACCTAGCACATTAATTAAAAAAATAATAATAATAATATTCTGGAACTGCAGGATGGTGAAGATAGCATATTGTCCCTCTCATTTACAATAAGAAATGCAAAATCTTAGTAATAAAGACATCCTCCCTATAAAAAACATAGTTGTGAACCGATAAAATGATATGTTGTTTTAGAGATTAAAATCATCTCCAAATTTAAGTAGACTGAATAGTTATGTATGAATTATGTTAAAACTTTAAGCACCCCTCTTCCTTAGATATTTTTATGTGTTTACTAGAAGCCTGGTACACAATTCATGCACCAGTGGGGTCCCTCAGCCTGGCCTATACCCTCTCACAATCCGGGAACCCTTGGGAGTGTCAGACTGCCAGTTTCGGCCCAATCCCGATCCAGCCGAAACAGGCAGTCTGACATCCCCCAAGGATGTAGTAGTACACGAAGTGGCAGACGGCCAGGGAGGAGCCTGAACCTGGGCTGGGCGCTGCGCTGCTCCCACTCATTCTGGCCCGCTGCGCCTGCTGCTGCTGCCAACTGATAGTGCTGCCACAGAGGCGGGAAAGGCTCATGCTGCCACAGGTGCACCCACCAGCCGTGAGCCTGGCGTCTGGTGCCCATTGGTCAGCTGAGTGGCTCTCCCACTGTGGGAGTGTACTGACCACCAGGGGGCAGCTCATGCTTTGAGAATCTGCCCCCCGGTGGTCAGTGTGCATCATAGTGATTGGTCGACCGGTCGTTCGGTCATTCTGTCACTTAGGCTTTTATGTATAGAGCTCCTGCTCTATAGGGCATGAGGAAATTAAGTCTTATTCAGCTTTTTCCCAAGTACCTGGCATATGATATTTCTTGATATTCCTTAACAAGTATTTGCTGAATAAATGAATGTAAG